AAATGCGGCCTTGGTGATCAAAAGCAAAAGCATTAAAAATATTACTGTTTTATTATTGATTTATTATTTACCATCTGCAGTCCCAACAGGTGACAACGAAGAGAACATTACAAGGTAATTTATTCACCATGACATTTATTGCAGTATGACACATTTAAAACACTAATTTGTACATTTTATAAGATATCAGTGCTTGCTTCCTATTTATTTATTTATATTAATTTTTTAATATTATTTAAATTTTTTTAATTATTATTTTATTTTTATTTTTTTTGCAATTCCTTTGGGGAATTTATTTATTTGATGTTGTAGCTGTGGCCTAGGAGTTAGTATACACACTCCAGCACCTTGAGTTGACTAATGTGGGCAGTCTAAATTTGAGTCTGGCTTGGGTCATTTTCTGATCCCAGTCTCCTGATAGCGTCTGATATTGCTTTATTAGATTCAATAAGGATTTTGAAGGACATGCTAAATATAGCACATGAAGTCGTGCACCATACTCCTTCAGTTCTGTCCACATTCAGTTCTGTCATATTTCAGTAGGTCACGTCCAGCTAATAGCTCTAACACGCTTTGACCTTACAGCAGCTAGTGTAACCTGATACACGCTTGTGTTTCCTCTCTATTCGTTTACTTCTCCATTTTTTAACGACCTCCATAACACACGTTACTCACACAAATGACACGCATTCACAGCCTCCAGAGCCGTGTCCCACATGAAGTACGAAAACAAAAGTCTCGAGGCAAAGAGCGCCTCTTCGTTTTTCCTAATGTGCAAGGCTGCAGCAGGCAGACGGAGCCAGATGCACTGAGGAGGGGGGGAATGAGCGAACGAAGAGAGAAAGAGAGAGAGAGAGAGAGATGGGAAGTGCTTGCAGTTCTGCTGAGAGGAACAGAGGAGTGAGGTTACAGCGATTGATTGAGTAAATGCGGTAAAATCTCTTCCGCTGGTGTGCCAAAAAAGAGAAAGGGAAGAGGCTGATAAAGTGAGGACTAGGATTGAGAGAAGAGGATGGACTGAGACGGGAGAGAGGTTTAGCAGAGGACGTTTCAGTTTTTGAGGGAGAGCTCTGGAGTGCTGGTACAGAGAGAGAGGAAGACGGTACGATGTGGCAGCGAGCCACGGCAAGACAATGAAGAGGCCGCAGTTTATCAATGCGGCGGAATCTCTCTCAGAGTGATGGACAATTAAAGGGAAAGCGCTCAAGCTCATTGGACGAGGGCGATGGTCACTCTTCAGCCAATCCAATGGTGACCAGCTCCATTTATTCAGCAGGTGATGGGCAACAGCTGTGATAGAGGTATCTCTCTTCCTTTTTCTCAGCTAGGTTTTATTAGATTCGTCTTGCTCTCAGACTTGGAGGGTCATTAAAAAATCTATAATGGTTGAAGTTGAGTTGAATATGCTGTTACAAGTCATTTCCTGTTTGATAAGTTGTCCGTGCATTTTCAGAAGCGAAGTGAGGGGGTGTTTTGCTGCTCTTGGTTTTCGTTTACTCACATTTATGCATTTAGCTTTTATCCAAAGTGATGTAAAGTGCGTTCAAGCTTTATGTTTTATCACAACATGCATTCCCTGGGAACTGACCCCACGATCTCTGTGTTGCTAGCGTCAAGATTGTAATATAAGTACTGCTTTGCTTAGTCATAGGGATCACTGCGATTCGTCAAGTTCAGCACTGCAGAGCCCTCGCACAGGTAGCAACTTCACAGAGAGTGTGAGTAGGGCTGGACGATATGGCCAAAATTTATATCACAATATATTATCGAAACTTTTCTGAAGACAGTCGGTTCCCTTCAGAGATACATTCATATAAAACACCCGCGCCACGTTATGATTTTGAAACGTGCAGTGCTAATGTTTATTCAACGAAGTCAAACGCCACAAATAAATCAATGCATGGGAAACACTGGTAATGTATATCGAAATATCGGAAATGTGTTTAAAAATCATATCACCGTTATTGAAAAGAATTATATCGCGATACATATTGATATTGAATTATTGTCCAGCCCTAAGTGTGAGTGATGTATGTAAGAGTTTGATCTGAGGAGCTCGATGATACAACAAGAAAACGTAAAGTTGCTGTTCTTGTAAAGCAGAGTTCTGAATCTGATCTCATGCATTTTCATACAAATGTAATTGCATATGCACTCTTAAAAATAAAGGTTACAAAGGGTTTGGTAGCGATGCAGCAGAAGAACCATTTCTGTTCCCAAAAGAAATTTCTGTGAACAATTTTTTAAAAGAACCATTTGTTTCTTAATGTGAAGAAAATTTTAATAATCTAAAGAAGCTTTTTTCTAAAGTTCCATGGATGTTATAGGTTCTTCATGGAACCATCAATAGCAATAAAGAACCTTATTTTTTAAGAGTGTATTTTAGAAAACTGATGAATTTTACGCATCTTGAAATCTTACGTAGACGGATGGTCTGAACAGAACTTGACTGGGCCACTCCTGAGCTGCAAAACAGGTTGAATGGCTAAATTTAGCCGTTAATCAATGGTCCTCTGGAGATTGGCCAAATGCGAGCATGACTGATGCGTAGTTTAAGAGACATTACGACGTCCCGTTTATTTGATGAGAGATTTGTTGTGTGTGTGTGTGTGTATGAGATATTAAATCAATAGTTTACCTAAAAATAAAAATTATTGCAGCATTTACTCACCCTCATGTTGTTCCAAACTTGAACAACTTTCTTGTATTTGTGAAACAGATATATTGAAAAAATTAATTCTCTGTAGAATAAAAGTTAAAAGGGGTGTGATGTTGTTTTGGACCCCATTGTGTTTCATTGACAAAAAAACAGTTCTTTAAAATATCTTCTTTTGTATTGTACAGAATAGGGCTGGACGATATGGCCAAAATTTATATCACGATTTCCCTAAACCGACACACATCAATTTATTTTTATTATTTTTTTTTTTTTTTCAGTTTACGAAAATGTTTTTTGAAATATCGAAATATCGGAAATGTGTTTAAAAATCATATCACCGTTATTGAAAAAAATTATATCGCGATACATATTGATATTGAATTATTGTCCAGCCCTAGTACAGAAGCAAGTCAGTCATACAGGTTTGGAATTTTTGGGTGCACTATGTCTTAAGCTTTTCATTGTGAGTGGAGGGTTTGATCTTGAGCAGTGGTGGGCAGCTCTCCAGCGGACCAGGCACAATCTCTATTGTATGGATCCACTGAGACCTGCAAGCTGAAACCAGAAGCAGCGTCTTGGCCAAAGACCTCTGGGTCAATTTCAGCAGTGTTTCTTGATTCAGTGCAGATGCTGTGAGGCGGGAGTTCTGCGGCAGTTCGTGCTCAGTGATGGACTGGGTTTTTATTTCTCAGGGTGAATTAACTCATTATGGGTTGATCTACACTTCAGTAAGGAGGACGGCCCGAGGAGTGGATCTCTGGGAGGCTGTGCGGATGTAGGTTACGTCCTGCTCCATCCTTGACACACATCGACTGCGGGGCTCCCTGCAAATGCTGAATAAATCGGTCTGAGGAAATTAAAAATAAACTTGGCTATGAAAGCAAAATGAGTAATATTCCACTTAGCTTCTGATAGTGGCTGTATATGAGAACCACAGGGCACCCATCTGAAAGTCTGGTGGTGGCAGGTAGAGTGAGGCTTCACGAGTGGATGGATGAGTGCTTTATTAAGAGGACTTACTGAAAGCTTTGGGTTAATTCACTCTTTTAAACCTGTCTGACTGGCACTTTAGCCAGACCTGAGCTCTCTGTTAGTGACCTGCTGGGCATCCTTATGGGAGAGATAGATTTACAGAGGGCAGGTGACTTTATTAGACCCCAGACTACATTTAATTGGTCAGGAGGATCAATCACGGGTATGGGGACAGTTTTAAAAAAATGTGAGAGGCAAAGGAAGATGCACCTATCTTTGAAACATAATAATTAGGGATGATCATAAAATAAATTTCTTGTGCATCCTCAATTTTATTTTTATATATATATTTTTTATTAGAAAAGTTTGGGGTCTGTAAGATTTTGTAATGGTTTAAAAAAAAAAAAAAAAACTCTTAGGTTCACCAAGGCTACATTTAATTGATTAAAAAACAGTAAAAACGGTAATATTTTGAAATATTATTCAAATTTAAACTGTTTAATTTTTTAATGTATTTTAAAAAGTTATTTATTCCTGTGATGGCAAAACTGAATTTTCAGCAGCCATTTCTCCAGTCTTCAGTGTTACATGATCTTTCAGAAATCATTCTAATATGTTGATTTGGTACTCAAGAAACGTCCCTTTTTATTAATATCAATGTTCAAAACAGTGCTGCTTAATATTTTTGTGTAAACATTGATAATTTTTTTGTATTCATCTTTTATGAATAGAAAGTTTATTTGAAATATTTGAAACTGCATTTATTTGAAAATGAAATATTTTGTTACATTCGTAACAATGTCTTTACCATCACTTTTGATCAATTTAATGCATTATTTTTTTTTTATTATTATTATTTATATTTATTTATGTTATTTAATTTTTTTTTTAATCTTACTGACCCCAAACTTGCAAATATATTATTAACTTTAATATATAAATAGAAACTTTATAACAATTCAGAATGTAATTTTCAACTAATGCAGGCATAGAACCACATAATAGCCATGCAGTTGAACATACACCACTGCACTGTTGCATTCTGATTGGCTTATATAATTGATTGTGTCAGCCATCATTTGTAAATTAGTACAGCCACAGTAGTACTAATAATGTTTGGCACAAATGTTGATTCCAGGTAGAAAGATTCCTGTGTCTGCAGTATGAGTAATTCATCAGTGACTTCAAACTCCTTCCTGGAAGTTTTCCACAGTCGTCAACCGGTGTATTACAGCTTTCCAACTCAGTGTTTTAAATATCTGTAGTTCTCTGATCATTAGTATGCCTATTAAAGCATTTAAAGACATCCTCCCAGTCTCTCTGAAGTCTTCCTCTGATCTAATCCCTGCTTTCCTCTCTTCTCTCACAGCGGAAGCGTCTGCGGAGCGCTCTCCCAGGCGGAGGAGCATATCGGGGCTGGGCAGCTCGGAGAAGAACATTCCCATGGATGGCCCCAACTCCTCACCCTTCAAAGTGCCTGTGAGTTCATTTAGCAAAGCACTCATCTCAGCATTATACCAACTCATCATCACATCTCACTGGCCTCAGTTACTTCTCACAGTTTGCAATGCCAGCACTTTTTGCCCTACAGCCATTATTTCATGTTTAGGTCCCAAAATGTCTTTTTGTGGGCTATTAGAGTGTACTTTGCTGTTTTGCCTGCCGACCAGTGTAAATTGTCCAGTCATATTTTTTAAAATGTGTTATTGTTGTTATTTTTCAGTTCATTTAAATGAGAGCATTTGATTTTTGTCTCAACTTGTTCGGCTGTAAAGTTTCATTCACAATTCAGTGTTTTATTAAAAATGATGTAAAGTTTTGTTATACTACATTGTTAAATTCTGGAAAAAGTGACTGGAAAAACACTATTTTGGAAACAGCCGAACTGTTGTCAGAAATGTAAAAGGATGGTTCACCCAAAAATGAAAATTGCCATCATTTACTCACCCTAGTGTTGTTCCAAACCCATATGGCTTGCAAAGTTTTTGAATGATGAATGACAACAGTTTGGACAAACAAATATAACCTAAAATCTAGCTTGAACCTGTTTTCAACATTATCATTCATTGAAAAGAATCGCTTTAAAGGGACATTTCACCCAAAAACTAAAATTGCCATTTTTTTACTCACCCATACGCCATTCTATGGAAGACAAAAGATATTTTGAAGAACGTTTCAGCTGTTTCTGTTCATTCAGTGAAAGTCAGTGGGGTACAAAATAACTCTTTTATTTTATGGACAAACAACACTGAGACATTTTCTTTTATGCTCCACAGAAGAAAGTAAGTCATATAGGTTTGAAACGGTAAATTACTTTCATTTTTGTATTTTTTCATATTAGTGTCGCTGCCATTAGTTAGTCCCCACTATCACTCATCGTCTTTTACACGAGACTGGTTACATGTCAAACTGCACTGATGTAGAAATAAAGCAGAATTCCTGCTTGGGATATATGCCCCACTTTAATTACCCTCTTGAGCCCCTGATTAGTGAAGCGTCGTCCTCCTCCATTTATCTCCAGTTACTAATGGTCTTCCTTATTCCAGGCCAGTTTCTATGTGTGCGGACAGAGGTTCAGCACAATAATATATGTATATACACTGTGTACTCATACTTTGCAAGTTTGCACATTCATTTTGAGTTTTTTTTTTGTGCAATGTTTTCAATGCTGCATTGCATGAACAATGAGCAAACGCTCCCTCTGATAGCAATATAGTAACAAAGGCACATCCTGGAAACAGTCTGTGCCTCTGAGATTTATTAGAAATTGTTTGATGATATTTTTAACCTGGCAGGAAGTGGGACAAGGCAGATATTTATATCTCCAGCTTTTCTGTGTGTCATTTTATAAGTGATTAATCGTGCATATTTTTCTCTCTGTGACAAAATTCCTAGACAAATAAACTGATTTGGTGCACACTCGGATAAAAGACTTGGATGTTGGATGTGTCTTTGTTAATATGAAGTCTCATTACAGCTCAAGTCATTTTCTGTTAAGAATATGGAAGCATTGATTGACGGGTACATTCGGATTAATGGGCTCTGTTGAGGCAGCCTATAATTGATATATGAATTATGTGAAGACTGCATTGAAACCTGTCAGACTGCAGTATAGCCGATACATCAGCAATCATCACATGATTCCCAGAGCGGTGGAAACTGTTATTGAGGACTGACTCCCTCTCTCTATTTCACTTTTAAAACACGAAGCTTTCTCTCATCTTTCTTCTGATGAGGAATGACTAATTTATCACATCATTTCTATCCTTTTACTAGCCAAAAGGTCTCCTACTTACAGTCTGGCACTTATCTGAGCAAGACAAATCTCACTTCCCCTGTCCTATTTTTTTAGACAGTCATTGTCCTATATGAATTTAATGTATAACCACTCAGTTAACCCTCTGTGGTTTACTACAGATTTTTTTTCTTCCTGGTTTTCTCTTCCTCCATCCTCTTTTCTTCAGAATAATACATTCACTAAAAAGCAGGTTAGACAGCAGTGAGGCTGGTCACAGATTCTGACTGATAGGGAAAATTCTGGTAAATGCGATAAGCTGGTAATTATTTTGTTATTATATAATAAATTATATATTATGTTCAAAATCTCTAATATCGCCTGATAACCAATATAGCATATATTTATTAATATAGCATTTACATTTATTATTAATCAATTCCTCATTCATTCATTCATTCTTCTCCCATAGACTTATTCAGTCAGAATACAGAGTTGGAACAAAAAATATCATGATTATTATTCCTACTAATTATAACATTTATTGGTAACACTTTACAATATGGTTCCATTTGTAGTTAATGTATTAACTAGCATGAACAAAAATGAACAATACATTTATTACAATATTCATCTTTGTTAATATTAGTTAATAAAAATACAGTTGTTCATTGTTCATGTTAATTCACAGTGCATTAACTAATGTTAACAAGCACAACTTTTGTTTTTCAATAATGCATTAGTAAATGTTGAAATTAAAATGAACTAAGATCAATAAATGCTGTGGAAGTATTGTTCATGCTTAGTTCATGTTAACTAAAGTAGTTAACTAATGGTAACTAATGAACCTTATTGTAAAGTGTGTTTCTCCTACAGTTTCAATCAATCAGATTTCAGAGGCATAATAAATGAATTTATTTAGTTAGTTATTGTGCTCCTCCTAACTGAAATGAGTTAATAACACACTCACCCTGGACATGAATGGATATGCTTATGCTAAGAATTTTTTTTTTCTTCCTTCCTGTTTTGCTGAAACCAACACACCTCATAAGAACAGCTCATTCTGACCCAGAACCAAATATTACTCACATACAGTGTTGAGGGTAATATATTACAAGTAACGCAAGTTACGTTATCAGATTACTTTTTTCAAGTAACTAGTAAAGTAATGCATTACTTTTTCATTTACAAGAGAATATCTGAGTTACTTTTTCAAATAAGTAACGCAAGTTACTTTTTTTTTTTTTTCAATTTATTGATTGACAGCTCTCCTGTCCCCAATGCAACTCCGAATATGATTACTTAGAATATGACGCAAACCTGCAATAATTAAATGTTAAACAACACAAATATCCTTTATGTATTTAATCCCATTCTGTTAACCAATGTCTTTGCTTCTGACCTTCGATGATCCAGTTCAACCATACTAATAAGCAAAAATGACTCTAGACAAACATTTGTGAGTTTTTTTTATTGCTTGAAGTGTGTTGAAATTTCTTCTTCTGTATTCTACTGTACAGACGTAAATTTACTTTCCCTTCAGCCTGAGGCTTATTCATTTCACTTTTGGTGTGAAAAGGCTTTTATATTTGCCAAAAATAAAAAAAAATTATTTTAAAAACAAACAAGCAAGCCCTGTCCAGATTTAAAAAGTAACGCAAAAGTAACGTAACGCATTACTTTCCATAAAAAGTAACTAAGTAACTTAATTCGTTACTTTTTATGGAGTAACGCAATATTGTAATGCATTACTTTTAAAAGTAACTTTCCCCAACACTGCTCACATATATATCCGCAGGTGGCCGTTTGAACTCTCTGACTTGGTTACTTATTAATATTTTATTTACTTTCAAGACACTGAGCAAGCACTGATTGTGCTACAAGCAGACGGTAAACTATTCAGCTGGCCATGGCCGCTCCTTATTACTCTGTGCGAGTGCATTTTCACTGCCAAGATAGACTGATATGTCTGCTGAAACGGTCTGTTGGATTTTACTTCAGCTGCCTGTCCTCTAATGTTCAAACCTGCTTTTGAAAGGTCAGTGAAGTCTTTGCGAAGTTGCCATCTGCTTTGTCGTGAAGGTGCTGTTGTCTCTGTCATGTTCTCAGGGTCTTTCAGTGAGTGGTGTCCATGTATAGTTGATCATGACTTTTAAACTGTATACACAGACGCTTAATCATGAGCAAGGTTGAGTCATGCCGGGCACAGCCACACACTCAGCCGCCATTCACTGACTGAAAAACAAGAGTTTCTTAAAGGGACACATCTGACTTTCTCTGCGCTCTTCTGCTTCACAGGGTTTTTTAAGTAAGCGACTGAAAGGATCCATCAAAAGGACGAAGAGTCAAACAAAGCTGGACCGCAACACAAGTTTTAGACTCCCGTCGCTACGACCAACAGAAAATGACAGGTACAACTTACGCATCTTTGTTTCTCATGAATGTATTCAGAGGGAACTTTGACTGAACCTCACTGAATTTCCTTCAGTATTTTTTTGTCTCTGCCCAGGATTTAAGAGACAGATGTGTGTTTATCTTTAAGATGATAAGTTCAAAGCCATTTTTATTTCATTTTATACTGATTGAATAGATATATTTGAATGGATTATGTTTTCTACTGACCTTTTATAGGTAAAGTGATAGTTATACATTTTCTTCACTTTTCTTTAATTATAAGCAGCTATTCAAAAAAAAGGTTTTGGGTGCTTATATAACAAGGCCAAAAATTCTGCTTAAATTCTTGCTTGTCTTATAGAGAGCAGCTGGTTGGAAAATATGCTGTGCTGGGATCTGGCATAACATGAGATCTGTTTTAAAATAAATTTTAAACCTTTCAGGCAGTCTGACAGCTCTCTGGCAGAACCGTCCCTAACGAAGCTACTGTGTTAAAGCTGCAATTTAAACTGCACTTACGCTACCAGTCAAAAGTTTGGATTCACTTGACTTCATTTATGTTTGGCATGATCTCAAAGAACTTTTGACTGCACTTTTTTTACTGCCCTCTAGTGGACTGCACTGGCTGTGTGACAAATGGTTTGGCTGCCTAGCAGAGGCCAGTTCGCCCCATAACTACCATTTAGTGCTGAAAAATCCTTCTCCATTGACCGACATTCAAAAGTTCCCATGTGTTCTAACATAAAGAAGTCTTATTTTATTTTATTATTATTTTATTTTGTGAGCTGTTGTTGGACCGTTCCTGCATGCCGATGAAAATCTTTCTACTTTAATCACCATCAGAAAGTTCCCATGTTTACTGATAAAATGGAATATATATTTTATTAAACAGAGACCAAAAAAATCTTTCTCCATTGATCGTGTTCTGGGGAAATGGTATTATTTTGGTTTGATTTGCTTTGCCTTTCTTTGGTTTGTTTTCGCAAAAAAATGTTTGTTAAACCCAAAAAATCTTTTGTTCATTAATCACCAGTTAACAGTTCCTATTTGTTCTAAACAAAATAATTGTTTTATTTCATTTTATTTTATCTGCCTTTAAGATAATTGGCTTTCTTCAGGTATTATTGACCTCCTTGGTCTAACACTATCCACACAGATGATGTTGTATCACATGGACTCTTTGTTTTCAGTCATTTGATTTTTCAGATTTACTTGTGATTTACTTCTTCGCAGTGCTGCAGTTGGGTGTGTAAGGATAAGCAGGGCTGTTAATAGCATTAGGGAAAGTCAGTTTTGCTTTATTACCACACAATCAGTGTGTCACAGGTAGGCCTGTCACGATAACAGCTTTTTGTTGTGCGATATATTGCCCCAGAAATAATTGCGATAAGCGATATTATTGTCATTTTAAAGACCATTTTATGCCACTGAATATATAATCATAATGTAACAGCATAATAATGCAAAAAGGCATACACACTTCCAAATGACAACAAACTTTTAATTTTTAAGAATATTTAGATCATAGAAATTAAGTATCAAATTATTAGATACCTTAAAAAACCTAAATAAATAAACATTTTCTAACAAAAAGTGCAAAGTAACAAGTAGAAAAAAAGAAAAATGCACAAAGAACTGGAGATTTGGAGATTTTTCCATCTACAGATTTTTCCCGGACCTTCTTTTCTCTGTAAATTAAGGGTGCACACTATTGCTGAAAAACACAATCACTACTTAGCAGTCAGATGTCCGTATGTACAAATGCACAGATCCTAAACAAGACCATATCTGCAGATTTTTAAATTTGAACTAGCACCTCATGACTACACCACATTATGTACGAGAAGCTGCAAAAGACACTGGCGCAAGTGGAATGCAAAAAAAATGGTAACATTAATTTTTCAGTAAATATAATGGCTGATATATTGCGTCACCAAAAATTATTGAGGTCATGTACATATATTGCGCGATAAGTTGATATATTGATTATTGCAACAGGCCTAGTCACAGGCCCAAGGGCTGAATTAGGACTGATTACCTATGGTGACAAACCAGAAGTTGCATTTCCACCCTTTTTGATTGTGTTAGTTGGAACAGGATGGAGACTTTGGGCTCTGGCTGTGATGTTGCTGGTGGATCTGCTCTCTCTGTATACTCTAATGGCCACAGCTGCTGCGGTTAGACTACAGATGAGGAGGAGATGTGATTCTAATCACACTGATTTCTCGTGCTGCTCCTTGTGGATTGAGTGCATCTGTTTGTGAGGAGCTCTTGCTCATAAAGTAATTCTGGGAAGGAGTGTGTGAGTGTTGTGGGGCATGTGATAGTGTGTCTGTTTCAGTGTGGCCAAGACAGAGGAACTGCATATGACAGTTTGATTGAGATGAATTACAGCTGAACTCTCAGCAGACATCCGTCGCTGCGTTCACGCATGCACTTACACATGTTTGGGTGCGTTTAAAGGGATAGTTGACCTAAAAATAAAATTATTATAATTTTTAAATTTATATACCGTACCGTCCAATACCAATCAATTTTGTATGGGGTTGTTTTTTTGTTTGTTTGATTTTTGTTTTTGAAAGTAGTCTCTATGCTCACCAGGGCTGCATTTATTTGATAAAAAAATACAGTAAAAACAGTTATATTGGGAAATATTATTAATATTTTATTATTACTGTTTTCTGTTTTAGTATATATTTATTTGTAAATGTAATTTATTTCTGTTATGGCAAAGTTGAATTTTCATCAGCCATTACTCCAATCTTCAGTATTCCAATCTCTAATATGCTGATTTGGTGCTCAAGAAACTTCTATTCTTAAAGTGCACCTATTATGGGTAATGAAAGGTTCATATTTTGGCTTTGGGAGTCCCCAACAACAGGTTGACATGCATGCAAGGTCAAAAAACACTTTCATTGTCTTATAATATGCATTTATTTTTACTTTACTTGCTCAGTGACTCCCAAACGATTCGTTCAATGATTCATTTTTCCAAACCCCTCCTTTGCATGACGCTAATCTGCGGTGATTGGTCTGATTGGTCTCATTTTCATTTCATCCTGCCTGATAAAGCAGCGTTTGTGAGCGCAGTGCTGCTTTGTGTACAGCGTTACCGGGGAAACCGCTATTTTTACCGCTCCAAAAGCCGCACCTAGTGGCAAAGAATTAATTTGCATTTTCATTCAGACCAACGCAAAAAGACCAACAAGTGGGCGGGCAATATGACGTCAACATGAAACGGATTGGGATTCGTTTTAAAAATGACTCATTTAAAGTTTAAGCCATATTCAAAACGTAATAATCACTTTAATGTAGCTTGCGCCAATATTTGTACACGGAAGCAGCTCCGGGAGGATGATGTATGAGTTCAGCCGGTGAGTCTCGTGAAAACCAAAGTTTGTTTACAGGATCAAAGGAAGCAAAGTTTCCTTACTTTAGCAAAGGAAAACTAGTCTCCTCTTGGCTTACAGTGGGTACGGAAAGTATTCAGACCCCCTTAAATTTTTCACTCTTTGTTATATTGCCTGCTGCGTTTCCGCGTTCATCACTTCTGAGCGGCGCATGCGCAACGCTGACCTCATACGTCATGCTCCCGGAACTGCTTCCATTTACAACAGTGAGCGCAAGCTAGATTAAATTGATTATTACGTTTTAAATATGGTTATTTTTCTTACAAAAATGCATCGATTTGCTACAGGAGGCCTTTGTTCACCCCCCGGAGCCGTGTGAGACACTGTTTTTTTATGCATGGGCGCTTTTTATTTTACTTCTTTTGGACTGAAGCACTGCAACACCCGCTGACTGCAATGATAGAGCTTGGAATAGCCAGGACAATTTTTTATCTAACTCCGACTGGATTCTTCTGAAAGAAGAAAGTCATATACACCTAGGATGGCTCTGGGGTGAGTAAAACACAGCTTAATTTTCATTTTTGGGTGAACTAACCCTTTTAAACTTTGCAGGATGTTTTCATTCACTTAGAGCTGTGTTACACACTGCATAAAAGATCATTTTCAAAAATTCATAATAGGGGCACTTTAATATCAATGGTGAAAACAGTTGTGCTGATTAATATTTTTGTGTAAACTGTGATACATTTTTTAGGATTCTTTGATGAATGGAAAGATTGAAATAGAAATCTTTTGTAACATTATAAATATATTTACTGCCACTATGAATATAATTCGTCCTTGTTTAATAAATATATAAATTTTTTCCCCAAAAAAAATCGTACTGATCCTAAAATCTTGAACGGTAGTATATTGGCGTTATCTACTTGTGTATGTACCATAAAAGTAGCCCGTAGAACTTACTGCAGAAAATTCCAATTAGTTTTTCATGTCTGATCTTTAGAACTCCCTCTCCTCACAGTCATTTTGCAAGTGATGAAATATGATTTGTTTGTTCAGTATAGTCAGTTTCCAGTGTATCTTATTCAGTTGCTTTAGTAATAAAGTCATTATCAGCACAATGCTGAGAGGCTTTCTTCTGCAACAACTGAGAGTAGCTGTCAGTGGAAAGAGAGGATGGAAAACTGGAAGTTTTGCATGACATCTCGCCGAGGTGCAGAATTCGTGAGGCGCTTGAGACAACGTAAACAACATTTATGCATATACTGTGGCTAAAGCTGCTAACTGGTTCACTCATTTTTATTGACTACATTGACTATACAATAATGTCATATTGTTGGCTATACAAGAAAAGAGTGAGTGTAATTTGTATTGTAATAAAAATGTAACATCCAAAACACTGGAAAAAAAAAATTCTATATGACTGTTCAGACTGAGATGCATTAAAAAATTGCTTTTAATCATATTTTAAACCACACACTATAAAAATATCAGATGTGGCAGCTGTGAAATTCAATGTAGAAAATACAGTGACAATGTTTCAGGTATTACTGTATGACATATAGAATGGTGCAGGTATGACGTCAGAACCCGGAAAACTAATTTGCTGCTGGTTCCTTCGAGATATAAATAAATAAATAAAGCCTGTGGTAAACATAACATGATGATATTTTTTATATCAATAGTACATATGATGTGATGTTAAGCCATTTTTAGTTGACATTTTCAGCGCACCAATTAACAGGTTTTTCCTGTATAAAATAATAATAAAAAACAATTACAGTACATTTGGATGTGACTTGAACCTTGTTTGTAAACACATTATTTCCTGTGGGGATTTTTTTTTTTTTACATTTCATTTATGTTTTATTTACATTTTTAAACTACAAAAACTTCCAAACTCGATAGGTTCCCACATTTATTGTGATCATGCCAAGAGCTAGCTTAAGTTAACTAAATCTCTCTTCAGATAAGGCTACAGGTTTCTGCTTTCTTGGCTTTGCTGAATATCTGGCTATGTGAAAACATTTGAACTCGTAGCTGAAAAGAAAATGTAAATAGCACATTAGAGGCTTTGAAGTAATCGACCTTAGCTGTAGCAGAATCACCTCTCACTATGTGGTCTGAATGAAAATGCTAGTCCTGTATTCATAGTGGACTTGGAAGCTTTGACTGTAAAGAGCTTGAATGTGGCACCGCAGTCCCAGCGGACTGATCAGATTTCTTGGATAATGTGGGAGAGCCGTGTCCGGATACGGGCTGACAGTGCACTGATATGCTTAGCTGTTCGAGTCAGCGCTGGTGAAATGTATCGAGAGCTGGAAGTGAGCCTTCCATCAGGAGTCACCCTGCTGTTTCTGCATCAGCTGTCCGATTCAGTTTACCACACCTCTGTAAATGGAGACGGAAAGAGATACCTTTAGGATGGAGGAGATGGATTGATGGATCTTGAACTTCACATTGTCATATGCAGTTGCATAGGGCCTCACAAGCCCCAGGCAAGATTCAGAAGATTCAGTAGGTGAGTCAGTTCAGAAAATTTGCTGACAGATTTAGCGAGTTCATCTGGTGAAAGATTCATTAGACTGATTTGTGATTCAATAACTTGTGAGTTTGAAGTTTTATTAAAAGAGCTAAATCATAGGTTTTGTGTGTTCATGAATGGCACTACATTGGATGTGCTGTGTTTGTTTTTTCATACAAGCAGATAAAATGTGTTGTCTTTTGTATTATTTCACGATATCTGGGCTGTATAACTGAATTATATTCAATTCTGACTGGAAGATCACATCTCAGGGAAAATATGGGGCAATATGGACAGATAATGGATGTTTTGTGATAAATGATGGGTCCTGTGTTTGGGTTCTGTTGGGATGTGAGCCAGATGAGTGGCCAATCATTGTGGTAATCTGGTCAGTCAGCAGGCATCACCACAATTTCTCATAATGAGAGTAACTGATGCCAGCATATTTTCTATTAGGCACTTATACCAGGGTAGTCCATGTTACGTGACCAACTGTCTGATCGTATGTGCAATGTCATTGTGTTCAACCTTATAGCAATTGTAAACTTGAAAACAAGCAAAAGGATTGTATAATTGATCAATAATTAGATTTTATCTTTCTCCGTTCTTCTCCAGCACAGAACTAAATGAGAATGTGTGTACAGTAGATTAGAGGAGTAGCTCCCTGTGATTATCTTATGTCTCTTCCTGTCAGTCATTATCTTTAGGCTTTTATGTAGCAGTATTACATACTTTTATTATGCTATATTCTGAGTCTGAGGTCAGTCTTTATATTAGTCTGCTGTAAAACACTTGATTATGCAGGCATAGCTATAAATATATAAACATATACACACTACTGTTCAAAAGTTTAAGGTCAGTAAGTTTATTTGGTTATTTCATCTATTTAATTTTTTAAGGAAATTAATACTTTTATTCAGCAAGGACACATTATTGGTAAATTGAAAATAAATGAAATTACACAAAAACCAAAATTAGGTCATTATAAGCCTTTCAAGGTGATTTTAACATGGTGGCATTCTTTATATATTTATGTTTCCAGACTTTCATTCCATTTTATCATTAAAAAGTTAGGAGTCAGTAAGAATTTAAAATAAATAAACACATTTTTCAGCATGGATGCATTAAATTGATCAAAAGTGACAGTAAAGACATTTATAATGTTACAAAAGATTTCTATGTCAAATAAATACCATTCTTTTGAACTTTCTATTTATCAAATAATCTTTAAAAAAAAACTATATAACGATTTCAACAAAAATATTAATCAGCACAGCATAAGAAACCATATAAGTTAAAGGAACACTCCACTATTTTTGAAAATTTTTTTAGGCTAATTTTCCATCTCCCCTATAGTTAAACAGTTGCGTTTTACCGTTTTCGAATCCATTCAGCCGAACCGACGGAAAATGAAAAGTTGCGATTTTCTAGGCTTACGGCAGCAAAGTTCCTTGATTATTATGCCGGAATGAGAGTATAGTTCCTAGCCATATCGGCCTAGAAAATCACAACTTTTCATTTTCCGTCGGTCTTAGTACACGATGTAACTACAGAAGCATCAAGTTTTAAATAGGAAAAATATAGAAACTCTTTGGTCATTTTTGAGCGAGATGCTAACGGTCTAATCAGATTCAATTATCTATGCTAAGCTACAGCTAAAAGTGCAGCCGCCAGACCCGGAGATCGGCTGAATGGATTCGAAAATGGTAAAACTCAACTGTTTAACTCTAGGGGAGTTGGAAAATGAGCCTATTTTCAAAAATAGTGGAGTGTTCCTTTAAGTTTTTAAGAAATGTTTCTTGAGCGGCAAATTGGCATATTCGAATGATTTCTGAAGGATCATGTAACATTGAAGACTACAGTAATGATGCTGGAAATTCAGCTTTGCCATTACAGGAATACATTACATTTTAAAATATATTAAAAAATAAAATGTTCATTTTAAATTATAATAATGTTTCATAATATTACAGCTTTTTTCTAGGGATGCATTACTGGAACGTTATCGGTTATGGAAAAATTATGCCGATGTGCTGTATGATATGACTGTATTTTCTCTTCTGGTCTCATCTTAAGACTGAATTCTTATTAAACAAAACCCAGCCATGTAAGTAGCTGTGTGTGTGTGTGTGTGTGTGTGTGTAAGTGTTAAAGATGTTTGTGTAGTCAACTCATCCCTCGCTCCTCAGCTCCTCATAGGGCGGTCCCCATGGTAACATTCTCATGGGGACTTTGCATTGGCCAGCCCTCGTTATTGTTTGTCACATCAACTTTCTGCGTCCTTTTTAACCTCACCTGAGCTACGGTGAAGTACCTCTACACCTGCAGCAAAAAAATGAAAACTATTGGATAGGAGTCTTCGTTTCATTACAAGAATGTGTTAATATCCTGATATGCTCTTGGGATACTCCTTCAAGTGGATCTTTAGTTGTTTTTCGTAGGTATAAACTCTCTTTGTGGAAGCAGTGAGATTATGGAATTTGTTTCTTGTCAGATTATAGAATAAATATTGCTTTGACTACAGTAAAGAAGTTGAAAATGATTATTGTGTGTGTTTATATAAAATGAAATGATTGTTGTCTGAAACACTCACTCTCTTACGTTTGACTGCCTCCCTGTGGCTGTGCTCTGTAATTTATTTTTCTTTTACTAAGAGGACCTCAAAGTTCATAGGAGATTATAATCAATCTCTCTGAGCCAAAACTATTTGTCACAGTTCTCATTTGCAGATCAAATCTCCTGTGGCTGAGGACACTGTGTACTGAAATATCAGAATCGGAAGAGAGGATGTAATTATTATTAAATGATCTGGCTGAATCTTGAGTAATTGAGTTAAAGTTTCTGTTATTTCTGTGTGCTGTTGTAGGTCACGGGGCCTGACCAAATTGAAGGAGTCCTGTTCCCATGAGTCTCTGCTGAGTCCAGGCAGTGCTGTTGAAGCTCTGGATCTGAGTATGGAGGAGGACGTCTACATCAAACCTTTACACAGCAGCATTCTAGGACAAGACTTCTGCTTTGAGGTACAAAACATTATTCCCTTAAAATCTCATATCCAGTAAACACAATTAGTAAGGTCTTGGTAAAGTCATGGAAATTGGTCAAAAAGAGTGGGAACCTGTTTGACATACCATGATATATGAATATGTAACAGTGTTGCATTGCTCTTTTGTAAGTCGCTTTGGCTAAAAGTATCTGATTAATGAATAAATGTAAATGCAATCAAACTGTACCATAGTATAACAAGACACTAGTAAACCACGGCACAACCACAAAATATTTTGGAAGGGTTATATTGAATGCAGTTCACTTCTTCATAACCTATGGTTTAAATGAATGATTTACTTTATGAATGAAGTCCCTCTCCTCGTGTAGGTGGCATACTCAGGTGGAAGTAAGTGCTTCAGCTGCTCCTCTGCTGCTGAACGGGACAAATGGATGGAGAACCTCAAGAGAACTGTGCAGCCTAATAAGGTGACCACCAGATGCTGTTTTTTGTTGTTGTTTTTTTTTAATCGATACAAAAGCATGCATGCTTGTTTTATACTTAAAATGAACTGCTGTGGGTTCAATCAGTGTCATTCCATCACCAGGACAACTGCCGACGGGCGGAAAACGTCCTCCGTCTGTGGATCATCGAGGCCAAAGATCTGCCACCGAAAAAGAAGTATTTCTGTGAGCTGTGTCTGGATGACGTGCTGTATGCCTGCACCACCAGCAAAACCCGCTCTGACTGCCTGTTTTGGGGGGAACACTTTGAGTTCTCCGGTGTGCCGTCCATTAAGAGCATCACTGTACACATCTACCGTGATGTTGACAAGAAAAAGAAGAAGGATAAAAACAACTATGTGGGCCTGGTGAACATACCAGTGCAAGGAGTGATGGGAAGGCAGTTTGTGGAGAAATGGTATCCGGTCAGCACCCCCACCACCAGCAAATCCAAAGGTGGAGGCCCCTCCATCCGCATCAAATCTCGCTTCCAAACTGTCTCTATCCTGCCCATGGAGCAGTACAAGGAGTTTGCGGAGTTTGTGACCAATAACTATACCATGTTGTGCTCTGTGTTGGAGCCCGTCATCAGTGTGAAGAACAAAGAGGAGATGGCCAGCGCGCTTGTGCACATACTGCAGAGCACGGGACGAGCGAAGGTACGATGCCAGTTAAGTTCTCATTTACATAAATTCGCCATAAATCACTTGTTTATTAATAAAACCTGACTGAACTGCTTTCATTAGGACTTCCTAACAGATCTGGTGATGTCTGAGGTGGATCGCTGCGCTGACCATGACGTGCTGATTTTTAGGGAGAACACGCTAGCCACCAAAGCCATTGAAGAATACCTCAAATTGGTGGGACAGAAGTACCTACATGATGCACTAGGTAAATGAAACATTTGTCTTACTGTATTAAGAGAGGGAGGAGAAAAGTTTGCTCATCAAGGCTTGTGTATCAAGACCCTTTACCTTATGCTTGTTTTTGCTTTGTAGGAGAATTTATTAAAGCCCTTTATGAGTCAGATGAAAATTGTGAAGTAGACCCATCGAAGTGCTCCAGCAATGAGCTTCCAGAGCACCAAAGTAACCTAAAGATGTGCTGTGAGCTGGCCTTCTGCAAGATCATCAACTCTTACTGGTAACTTTTTCAATTCCTAAAACTTGACATCATTTATGTTAAAGGGGTCATATGATGCAATTTCAATTTTTCCTTTCTCTTTGGAGTGTTACAAGCTCTTGGTGCATAAAGAAGATCTGTAAAGTTGCAAAGACTAAAGTCTCAAATCCAAAGAGATGTTCTTTATAAAAGTTCAGAGTGAGCCACACCTACCTAAAACGGCTCGTTCTAACACGCCCCCACATATCTACCTCACTATGTGGGAAGATTTGCATAATGCCGCCCAAATGTTCACACAAAGAAAGAAGGCTTAAATGTGGAAAATAATGTTTTTTTTTTACTTTAAACCGCATAAACACATTTCATTACACCAAATACACAAAATAATGTTATTTTTAGCAACATCATATGACCCCTTTAAGCATAAACTTCAATAGTAGCTAAGAAGAAATTTGAATAACAACAAAAACAAAGAAAAGAATATATGTAGGGTTCACGGTAATTAAAACAGTGATTTTCTTGTGAGCAATCTCCATAAAATGTTTTTAGAAATTCTTCTTCAGAATTTATGAGCAATTGGAAAAGTCTTAAACTGTTTTTCCAGACTTTATAAATTCAGATTTTACACTATCGTTCAAAAGTTTGGGGTCAGTACGATTTTTTTTTTTTAAGAAATTACTTTTATTCAGTAAGGATGTACTAAATTGATCAAAAGTGATCATTAGAATTTTTATAAAGTGACAATTATAAAAACAGTTATAACAATGTACAAAATTTCTATTTCAAATAAATTCTTATGAGTTCTTATGAACTTTCTATTTTTCTTTACTTTCTATTCAAAGAATCCTGACAAGAATGTATTATGGTTTTCACAAAAATATACATTGATAATAATAAGAAATACTGATTTCTGAAGGATCATGTGGCACTGTAATGGCTGCTGAAAATTTAGCTTTGCCATCACAGAAATAAATTACATTTTAAAATATACATAAAAAAAAAAAATCGTAGCTTTAAATTGTAGCAATTACAGACTCTGTGATCGTAAGAAATGTCTTTCAAAAACATGATGAATAACTGCCAACCCCAAACTTTGAACAGCAGTATATGTTTATGCAGTTCACAATGTTTCTACTGGTAACTACAAATACAACTACATTGCTCTTCTTTGTAGTTTGTTTGTATGCTCATGTTTGCAATCGCATTAGTTACATCCTAACCTGCTGCTGTGCTCTTGTCAGTGTGTTTCCACGGGAACTGAAGGAAGTGTTTGCATCATGGAAGCAGCAGTGTCATGCTCGAGGGAAGCAGGACATCAGTCAGCGTTTGATTAGCGCATCGCTCTTCCTGCGTTTCTTGTGCCCTGCCATCATGTCCCCTTCGCTCTTCAATCTCATGCAGGAATACCCAGACGACCGAACCTCTCGAACACTCACCCTCATTGCCAAAGTCATCCAAAATCTTGCTAACTTTGCCAAGTATGTCAGAAACACTCTTCATTGAGTACACAATGCTTACTTCATAAAATTCTAAATATTAAATAGTTTCAGGATTTTGAATGTGAAAATGGGAATTTGAGTCAAAATTATGGAAATCAGGTTAACGGTTTACATGACACTAACATAATTCTCATTTAATGTTATGTATTAATATTATAATTTTCTTGTGTGTGCAAATGCAGTCATCGTGAGACTCCAGTGTCTGTCTGCCTTAGAGCGCTTTCAGTACTTTTGAGTTTCTTATGTATTTCTTGTTCTCTGTTACATCAGATTCGGAAACAAAGAGGAGTACATGGCCTTCATGAATGACTTCCTAGAGCACGAGTGGGCTGGTATGACTCGATTTCTGCTTGAGATCTCAAATCTTGAGACCATCTCCAACACCCCGGGCTTTGAGGGCTACATCGACCTGGGCCGTGAGCTGTCGGTGCTACACTCTCTACTGTGGGAGGTGGTGTCTCAGCTGGACAAGGTACTGAAATCCCTCCAAACCATTATACTGCAACAATACCTCTTACAATGAAATCTGCCGTAGGCTTAAGTCTGGTTTTAGAGAGATTTACAACAGCTGAGCATCAATTTGTTGAAGAGACGTGACAGTGGGGGGGTAAAAACACACCTGCCTACCAGAGATGTTATGTAATCCTCTTGCACTCAGTAATTTCTTTTCATTAAAAAGTTTTAGACAGAAATAAATAGGACTTTCACAACATAAACAAATGCAACATGAATGGTACTCAACAAAAAATTGCAAAGTGCATATTTAATTATTATGAGTGCCCACGTCTCAAAATCAGGAAGCACGTTTCATACCTCAGAGGTATTGCCGCAAATGTCTTCTGTTGAGCTGTGTGCTTCATGTCAGTAATGCTTTATCCCCACTAAACATTGTAAGCTTCTAGCTGATTTTAAATGTTATCACCAACCTGATATTGCAGTACATTGACCGGCTGTGTTTGACCAAAAAAAAGCTTTGCACTTGTTTGCAGGGTTAATGTCATAACTCATTGTCTAGGTTAAGTTAGCCTCAAGGTTAATGCCCCTGTTTAAACTGGAAGAGTCTTGTTTAATGACATTGGACACAGCGCATTCACGCATCCCCACACGTCCTTTCCCTAACTCTTGCTGACCTGTTGCGTCTGGAGCATGGTTTTGTTTTGACTGCAATTAAAACCTCCCTGCACAATATTTTTGTTTCCTGCCATGAGTTAATTCATCAAAACCTTTCTTTTATCTTATCTCAGACCTAACCTTCTGTTGTTGTTTGGTGCATGGCCTGCATTTGACCATTTTTACCTCGTTTGTTTCTGTTTGTGGCTTTTGTCATTTTTGTAGAAGCATGTGTTTTGTTTTTTCTTTCATTTATCCCTAATTTGACTTTTTTCCTTTTGTTTTCTCCTCTGTTTACCCATGCCACTATCCATTCCACCCTTTCCTGTCCGACACACTGTGTCTCCATGGTAACGCTGTTCTACCATCAATGCATTATGGTGCCTACTATCTCGACCAACAAAAAAAAAAAAAAACTCCTGCCAACCCACCAATCTGCCATCTGCACCCTCAAACTCTCGGGCTCCGTGTGGTTGCCCTCTGTGGTCCATAATGTGGTTACCATGGTAACGCACCAACCCAGGGTGACAATTCCTTCCTGCAGGCGACGGTGGCTAAACTGGGGCCCCTGCCACGTATTCTTGGCGATATCACCCGCTCGTTGTCCAGCCCCACCCCCATCCAGCAGCAGCTTAGGCGCTTCCAGGACCATAGCTCCGCTCATGACATCAGTGGAAGTGTGTCCTCAGGACTGCAGAGAATATTCGAAGATCCAGCAGACAGGTAGGACATTGTTGGATTTCATAATTTTCTCTACTTTATCTATGACTCTTGCGCTATATTCCAAATCATCTAAAGCCATAATTGTTTGAGCAACAGACTGAAATTATTTGGTTGTTATTGCAAAATTATAGTAGTTACTCACTCATCCACAAGTTCAAACTTGGTGCGTTCCCGAAAGGAGAAGAACATCATTGGTTCTCACATGTACTGTAAAAGTGCCGGGTTTGAACTTGTGGAAACATGAACATTGTAAAGGGCTATTTCTGGTTAAAAACACAATGTAATGGATGTAGCGACATATCTTTTCTTCTGTATTGTGACGTACATCCGAGTGAAGCAGATTATCAAAAAGAACAACAAAAGTTAGGGTTGGAACTCTGTCATTTCACCGAATGATTGAGTTATGCAATGTTGATGATAAATTAAGAGGTCAAAAAAAAGAAACATAAGCATGGATGAATCATTCACAATAGATTGTGCATTTAGAAAGTAGATTTCATTTCATGCCAACTTTAAATGTTGAAAACATGTGGTGATTTGCATTTATAGCTCTGCATTGGTACATTATCTTTGTTCTAGTACACAGCCAAAACACTAAACAGTTTTTTCTCCAAAGATCACATTTAGAATTGGTATATCCGGTTAATAATGGATAAATTGATAAATGGATAAAGTCCCTGTCCTACATTTTTTTTTCTTTTTTGATAATACATTTCACTCAGTTGTACATCACAATTCAGTGGAAAAGATCTGTCCCAACTTCTGTTTCATCGCAAATTTTAAAAGGCTTCAGAACAGATGGCTGGCAAGCCTACTTATATTTCTCTGAGAAGGCCAATTGGTATCGGACAAGGAAAGACCACAATGCATTGTAAAACCAAAGTATGAATGAACATTACATTAGCACAAGTAACTTTCCAAAACCGCTGAGACTTGGACCATTAAAATAAAATGTGCAATATTATGACTGCATTATTCTCATATATTCATTCTCGTGTATCTTGTTCCTCAGTGAAATGAGGAGCATCAAATCTCCTGTCCAGGAGCACATGGAGGCCTTAGTCCGAGGGAAGCATCCTTTATTGGGTCAGCAGTCCTCCACTCACAGCATGAGCTTCTCTGACAAAGAGGAGCGAGACAGTCCACTCCCGAATGGACGCAGTATATCTCTAATGGACCTGCAGGACTCTTACTTGGCACAGGGGCATCCGGGTCCTAACTCTCTCAATGAAGCCCCACCTAGATTAGGCCGAGTGGGCTCTCAGGCCTCCATCGGCCCTGTCCCCCCTCCACACCTCCACCAGCCTCCCGTCCATCCGAAAGTTCCCCAGCTAAGGGACAACTTGCCTCAGAGTGCCCCGCAGGTGCGGCGCCCTATACACCCCTCCCTCAGCCAGCAGCGCAGCCTGCAACCGCTGTCTTTCCAAAACCCTGTTTACCACCTCAGTAACCTGCACGCACAATCCACGCACTCAACCCAGTCCACGCACTCCGCCCAGTCCCTGCAGCCAGACTCCAGCTCAGAGAACCTGAGCACAGGCAGCTCTCGGAGCGCCAGTCCAAGTACGTCAGGTGGCCGGGGAGCTACTCCCAGAGCACGGATGCCTTCCACCAGCAGTGTGGAGGAAGAACTCACCCGCAAAAGCATCCTGGGCCAGGAGACGCCTCCTCCCTCGGCACGCTGGCACCCTCCCCTTGCAGACCAGCACTCGGGAGCCCAGGTTGTGGTGGTACCGAGGCAGAGCAGCACAGGTACGGCACATATCGTGAAGGTGGAGCAACAGAGTCGAGGAGTGGGGCTGGCGGCAGGAAACGCAGGGCTGCGAACCCCGAGGTCGCTCCCTCACAGCACTTCCCTGCGTAGCAGCAGCAGCGTCAACACTGAACCCATGCAGCAGAGCGGCGAGAGATCCAGACAGCAGTCCACGTGTTCCAAAGACAGTTCGGTTCCAGGAGGACGAGGCACCAAACAGGTAAAGACTGAGAGGAGGAAAGAGAGTTTGCTTTATCCAGACATGTTTGAACCCAAATAAAGCTTTCTTTGCATGTGTCCCTAAGGTACAGTCACCTGTAGAGTCAGTCACCATGTCCCCAGTGGAGCGAACGGCAGCATGGGTCCTGAATAACGGCCAGTATGAAGATGAGGAAGAGGAAGGACTAAGCAAAGATGATGCCAAACATGTAGAGAAGGTACAAAAAGTGATAAGGAGAAATTGCTGCAAATATGCATTAGAGTTAGGTTTTAAGAGACCCTACTCTTCTTCTCTGAAGTACGAACAGGAAATCTCGAAGCTGAAGGAGCGTCTGCGGGCGTCTAGTCGGCGACTGGAGGAATATGAGAGGCGGCTGCTGGCACAGGAACAGCAGATGCAGAAACTGCTCTTGGAATACAAGGCTCGGTTGGAGGACAGTGAAGACCGTCTGCGCAGACAACAGGAGGAGAAAGACAGCCAGATGAAGAGTATTATCTGCAGGTGAGTGTATGAACCGGCAGAGTATGACCAAATTTACAGTATATATTAAGGAGTGAGAATTTTACACTTTTGGTTGCAAACCTCAAAATACAGTCTAAAATACAGTCTAAACATTTAGTAAACTGTACATTTGATGTTTAACAGTTTAGAGGTCAATATAATGCAATAAAGGCTCTTTTTCATTCTTTATTCATTTCTTAAGGTACTGATGTGTTTAAATTTTAAGTAATTTTTTCCTTTTTACCTTTAATTTGTCTGGTTCATATTTACAACATATAAACAAAAGTATCCAACTTAAAAACCTGCAATGTTAAAATTTATTTGTAATTGTAAAATAGGGTTTTTTGTCATTTGTGGCTCACAGGCTGATGGCCGTGGAGGAAGAACTGAAGAGAGACCATGCAGAGATGCAGGCGGTCATAGATGCCAAACAGAAGATAATCGATGCACAGGTATTGCAGATTACCATATTAATCAGCATGATAAATGCAAGAGAACTTTAGTGAGAGTTTGGAGATCATCTTAGTCTACTGTCTGGTTGTGAGGTGCTGGCCTGTCTGTGCTGCACAGTGGTATGCTTTGAACTCCCTGCTAAACCTCAGATGGTATTAAAGCAAACAGGCTGCTGACTGGCTCATTGTTACTGTGTCCTACTGAATTCCAGGTCGCTAATGGAACTGAGGTAATACCAGCAGGCAAGTACAAGCAGACAGTTCTGTTCCTGCAGAGCAGCTAGGCTTATGTAAGCGCACCCCGATCCAACACCCATGCCTGGCCTGAACCTTTGCAACACTCAGTCCTCTAAGCCATTTTGTTTCTCTCCACTTCAGAAGATCTAATAAAACAAGGGTTAAAGGTGAAGTGTTTAATTTTTCAATGTTAAAAGATGCTCTATCCAAATTTAATATGCAGAGATGACGATAACAAAAATGTATCATAAACAAAAATGTGTAATAAGTACAAAAAACAAATGTGATATAGGATGCAAAAAGTAAGCTAACCAAAAAAAAAGCAAAGAACTAGAAATGTTTAATTTTAACAAATTATAGCTTTGATTATATTATTAATGTTACATATAAAAAATAATTTATTTTTTTTATTAATGTTTAAAGGTGCAATAGGTGATTGTCTTCAGAAACATTTTTTGTTATGCTGGTTGAAAGTCCCGATAGCAATCATTACGTTAAGTTGTCTAAATGTATTTATCTGTATTTATACTGCCTGTCAACATATGTATCTGCATACCTCTGCGCACCCGGTTCGCGCACACAGGATACGTCATCAGCGCGTTCACGCACGCTGTGCACCTGGTCTGTGAGCGTAAATGCGTTCAGGGGGCGTGGCTTTGGACGGCGATTGCGGGGAGGATAGGAAGTTCGCTTTCAGTGCTATCAGGCTAAAGTTAGCATTTTCCGAGATCTCCTACTGCACCTTTAATTAATTATTAGATATTTAAATCCACCCAAAAATTAAAACTGTCATCATTTATTCACTCTCATGTTGTTCCATGCATTTCTTTTTTCTGAGGAAAACAAAAGAAGATATTTTGAAGAATGTTGTTAACCGAATGTTTCGATTCCCATTGACTTCCATTGTTTTTGTCCTGTGTGGTTACCAGCATTCTTCAAAATACCTTTTTTTACATTCCACTGAATAAGAAACTCACAATTTTGAAACGACATGAGGGTGAGTAAATGATGACAGAATTTTCATTTTTGGTAGACTTTCCCTTTAATCAATGTTTTAAAGGTTTAGTTCACCCCAAAATTTCTCAAGTACTTGATTTGTGTACTTCGTCCACCACTGCTTGAGGGTGAGTAATTTGTGGGCTAATTTCCATTTTTGGGTGAACTAACCCTTTAATATATATTATGTTTAATTCCTAATCAGGAACTGAAAAGTACTTCAGGCAGAATGAAACTCTTCGTGACACCATTAGTGGTGTAGAAATTGCACACTTTAACTTTAAACTAGATACTTAAATATGTTTGGATACTTAAACTTTTCAGTCGTAGCCTGGTTTGTCATTTCACTTTCAAAATTCTCCTCGGGGTTGTTGAACGCTCATGCTTTACCCACATTTCAAAGCTGTCAGAGCATCTTCCTGATGTTTAGTGTGATGCTATTGAGGAATGTGTGTTAATAGGGATCTCTCCTAGCAGATTTAGTACCTGGTATCTGTGAGCTCTAGCTTTGGCTGCAGTTTGTTTATTTTCCCTCCTTATTTTTGCCTAGTCACTTCTTGATTGCCCATGCTGCCACACTCCCAGCACTGTAGTCGGTGTGTTTGCACTTCACAAATTGCTACTGCCTTCTGCAGATAATTACTTAATAGTATAATGATGGTCTATCTTTTACTTATGTGGTTTTTGTCTGCGTCTGTTGCTTATACAGGATTTGAGTTGTCCTATTTTTTTGCTGTCCTTACAAACTTGCTCTTTTGCTTGTGTATGCTTTTGAAGACAGATTCTTGTAGCACATGTGATTGTTCACTTGCCTGGATTACACATAAAATATCATTTTTATTATATGATATTTGTGTATATATACACACACACACACACAAATATAATGTAATACACACACACACACATACACACACACACACACACACACATATATATATATATATATATATATGTTCTGTGTTTCTGCTGCTAAATCGCCAAGAGCAGTAATATTATATGTATATATGTATCCTTTAATTTGTTCAATATTAAGATATCTTAAATTTGATTTTAATGTGCTTCTTTCTCTCTCTTGCAGGAGAAGAGGATCAGCTCCCTAGATGCAGCTAACTCTCGGCTGATGAGTGCCCTCACTCAGGTGAAAGAGCGATACAGCATGCACAACCTCCACAACGGCCTGTCGCCCACCAACCCCACCAAGCTCTCCATCACTGAGAACGGAGAGTTCAAGAACAGCAGCTGCTGATTGGTGCTCATGGACTTGATGAGCTGTGCCGATTGGTGCTCCAAGACAGATCACCAGCACCGATTGGTCGAGTTCAACACGGACTGAGTACCTAGACTACATGCCTAAACTGACTGACTACTGTATACATGCGATTGCAAGGAATGTCTGGTTATTAATGTATATAAACTTTACCTAATATTGGTTATGTACAGAAATGCTACTGCAGAGGAGTGTTTTGAAATTGCGTGGGAGAGTAAAGCGTAGCATTGGTGTCAATGAGTTTGTGTTTTTTTTAAATACTGATTTACGCATAAATGCAGATTTAAGATTGCAAAAAGATTTTTAATTATTGCCTAAGATATATGAAGGAGATGTACATATCTTAAAATACAATTGTTTTAAAAGAAAATATGAAGAAAAGCACATAGGTATCGGCCATAGTTGTAAATGTCCTTAAGTTGCAGAATCTGACAGGCAGAAATAGATGAAAGGCAATTTTATGCACTCAGTTTTCTAACACAAGTTTTCTATATATATATTTTTTTTTATTTTATTTTTTTTTACATCTTGCAAAAGGTTATGACTGATTTTAGGTGACTAAAAGGACACAGTTAAGCCAGCCACAGTTCAATTGCAACAAATCTAGAACATGATATTCAATAAATTGAAATGCGTGTTCATTAATGTTACTAAAAATATGACTGAAGCAGTGGGTTTAATTAATTAAAATATTGAACTGAATTAACAAACTGAATTTTTATTTTGTCAGATATGTAGGATATTTTACTGCCATTCAAACCTAACCTAACTTAACTTTTTTTTTTTGGGGCCCTAATCTGTTTTATGTATCTGACCAGAGTGCTGTGAAACGGCCGATCTACAGTCTCACTGCCCTCTTGTTCTAGACAGCCTCACTGCCCTCTTTCTGATCCTGTTATTGTTTGTCAGCTTCTTTTATTGAAAGTCATTGTTTTTCCACTTTGTTCTCACTCTGTCCATATGAGCATCAATGCCTTTAACCTTTTGTGGCACAGAACTACTCAATGTTTGCTGTTCTCGTAGCGATATATTTGATGGTCAGTCTCAAAGTTGAAAGCTGAACATTGAATAAAGTTGGATTGTGGCCTCATTGATCCTGTTGTCTGTGTGTGACCTGAAACTGATTTATAATTTCTGCTTCCATTCATTTTGCCGTTATTGCACATTACCAAAAGAAGAGTCATTCCCATTAAAGATTATATTGTATTCACTATTGTATTGTTTTATATTACATTATTTTAATAGTTTTAAACAGCAAAGATGCATTGTTGGTCGGAAGTGACAGTAAAGACATTTATAATGGTTCAAAATATTTATTACAAATAAATGCTGTTCTTTTGAATTTTCTGTTCGTAAAAGAATCCTGAACAAAAATGTATCACGATCCACAGAAATATTAAGCAACTGTTTCAACACTGAAAATAAATGTTTTTTAGGTACCAAATCAATAACAGAATGTGTTGATTTCTGATGCGTGATGTGACTATGAAGATTGGAGTAATGGCTGCTTAAAACGTAGTTTTGCGATCTCAGGAATAAATTACATTTTAAAATATAAATATTTTAAACTGAAATCATGTTTCACAATATTACTGTTTTACTGGATTTTTTTTTGAATTACTGAAATAAATGAACTTTTCCACGACATTCTAATTTATTGAGATGCACCTGTAAATGTAGCCTTGGTGAGCATAAGAGACTTCTCGCAAAAAGCAATCTTACTGACCCCAAACTGAACTGAAACCTTTTGAACTGTAGTGTATATATAAAAATTAGTTTTTGAAACAATAGTTTTCATAATTGTACCCCAAAGTGGGTAGAATGTCATTTAACATTAAAATGAACAGAACTCAAGGGCATGGCCCCCAACAGGCCTACAAAATAATATTTTAATGTTACATATTTTAATATTTTACTTTGAACTGTGTATTAATTAAATTACTATTAAAGTTTGTCATTGCCACTGTCCGGACTCCGGATGTCATATCACCGATACACCAAAGGATAATGTATAGATATCCATTGTGATAACCTAAAATTAACCTTGGGCCAAATAAATAGGAACTAACATTCAATCAAATAAATTCAGTTTTCCTAATTTTGACCCCAAAATCTATATATGTTATCAATGATATTTATACTTCAATGAATCTGCGTTGCAAGGATCGATTTTGCACTGGATTTTAAGATACGCTTTCACGGTTGCGTCACTTCCTGTATGTGTATATATCTATATATATATCTGTGTGTATATATATATATACCAGTAGGTGGCGGTAAATGCACCTTTCAGTTGGTTTGCCAACTGCCAATAAAAATTAAAGACGAAGAAGAAGCGTCACTTCCTGTTCTGATTCTCCTGTGTTTACTGCTCTGCAATCTGTCTTGTAACATACGGGCTTTTCTGAACATCGTGAGCGTCTTGTTTGGATTTGTGCGAAAGGGCGTTTGTCGGGTATGATACAAACGTAGAGTGGATCATCTTAATTTTTATTTAATCTTTTTGTTTAACAGTAATGTTATCATATGGCCTGGATATGGCTGCAGGAACCGGCTCGCTAATGTTAGCCCATTCATTGCAGCAGACTACCTGCAAATATATAGACAAGAAACCTATGTAGATGTACATTTGTGTGTTTTAAATGTATGATTTTTCTTGTGCTGACAGTTTAAAATGCTAACTACCACATTATCGAGTTGGATACCGTTGTTCTTGCAGTACAGTTGAATTTATTTTTCTCTCCGTAGTTTTTACAGTCAGTGCATGGTTACGTTTATCTCTGAGAAATGGGAAGATTGCAGATTTCACCATATTCTTTTCCTATGGGCGATTGATAATCTAATTTTATTTTTAATCGTTTTATAAATGTAATGCACTTGTTCACATGCAGGCCGTCAACAATGGCGGACATTAAAGACTTCCTGTATGCTTGGTGTGGAAAAAAGAAGCTAACGCCAAACTATGACATCCGAGCAGCTGGAAATAAAAACAGACAAAAATTATTGTGTGAGGTAAGAATAAGCCTGAGGCCTCTCAAAGTCATTTGCGAATTGTATATAAAATACTTAAAATAAATCAATATATATATATATATCACAAACACACACACACACATATATATATATATACACACACACACATACGGCGTTTTATTGTTGTAATTGGAAAAGTGTTTTGAACCATGTTTCTTTAAGGTACGTCTTGAAGGTTACAGTTACATTGGCATGGGTAATTCTAACAACAAGAAGGATGCTCAGTCCAGTGCAGCCCGAGATTTTGTGAATTATCTTGTTCGGATGAAAGAAGTTAGTCCTGGCGAAGTTCCTGCTCTATGGGTCAGTATCACATCTATGTTTACCAGTTCTCTGACTGCTCATCTGTGTTATGAGGAGGGTCTGAGGTTACATTTATCGTTTTCAGGTCAGTGTACCTGATGGAGGGAATGAAGAAAGTGGTGGGTTTGGAAATCTCCCATCCAACTGTCCACTACCTCCACATCTGGCTGTGAAGAAGGAATCAGATGGAGGTATCTTATATTATACCTAGATTCATCCAGTATTTAGTTGCTAACAAAACATCTGCTATAATGCAATATCAGTGTTTTAGATGTTGTTTAGATATCAGTGGAGAAAGATCCCCTTTGGCCGCAGATTGGTGTAGTTAATGGCATCTACCAGCAGGGTCTGGTTATCTAACCCAGTGTTTCCCAACCGGGGTGCCGTCTGTCGAGAGCAGGGGTGCCGTGTAAATAATCCTTTTTTAATATTTTTTTAATTGCTAAAATGTTCAAAAAAAAGCATCTATTATATAATATCGATTTCTGATGTCGCCAATAATTAGAGATGCACCTTAAAATTTCCAAAGGGTGCCGCGACTAAAAAAAGGTTGGGAAACACTGATCTAACCAACCACTTTTATTGACACTCTGGTTTTATTTAAACCATTTATACCATTGACTAAAACAACCATTTTTAATGCTGTATTCTTCTTGTGTCTCAGAACCTTCTGGGGGTTCTGCACCTGTCCCTGGAGTCACAGGTTTGGGCTATTCTGGTTTTGGTAACGCCCAATGGGAGCGAGGAGCCAACATCCAGGACTTTTATTCCAAGAGAGACGAACAGGATGCAAAAGCGGTAGGTTTTTTTCTTTGACCACCATTATAGAACGTTTCTGAGAATTTAAGGTATTTTTTTCTCATTCCCAAGACCTTAGAATCTGAGGAAGTTGATCTAAATGCTGGCCTCCATGGGAACTGGACTCTGGACAATGCAAAAGCTCGTCTGAACCAGTTCTTTCAGAAGGAGAAGAACCAAACCGACTACAAGTACAGCCAAGTGGGGCCTGACTACAACAGGTCAGAACATTCACATTTACTACAAATATAGTAGTTTATAGTTCAATTATAAGCCTAGTCAAAAATCAGGCTTTGCATCTAAATGAAATGTATCAAGGGTTTGTTTTTCTGCTGGACTGAAACAATGACAGAGACCTCCTTGATGTGTATATAACCTCAAGGAGATCTCGGACAACTAAAAGACTCATATCAGATGTTACTTTGCAAAATCAACAATATCATATGGGTGAATCTCACGAAAATTGTCAAGAACATGTCCAGGTCATATTTCACTCCAGACTCAAAAGAATGAATTACAGTAGTGAAAATTGAATAGTATAAGAATAATGTACTTAATTGATATTAATAATACAATGCAAAAAAAAAATCTTAATGGTTCTTAAATTATTACTATTATTAATAATAAAACAAGTATTATTATGATAGATAGATAGATTTTTTTTAATTAATATTTATTTACATGATTTGGGGGTGACATGTGACCTGGACATGTTTTTTTGTGAGATTGACCCATGTAGTATGTAATCTTGAAGGAGGACAACAGAGATGCCAGAAATCGCAACGTTAAATGGGGGAAAACGTGACATGACTTAGGCTACACTAAGAGGTCACATGGTGAAGTATGTGATTGGTTGGGTTTAGAGGTGGGAGAGGCAAAATAATGTCTGGTTGTGATTTCTGGTGTCACTCGTCCATCAGGGGTCAAGGCCTCCAGTACCTAGAAAGGAATAACGCCATGTTTAGAAGTCTGGCAGAAAAACAAACCTGCTCAGGATGGGTTGTCCTGTACGGACTCTGCGCTGAAATTTCACTCTGTTGATCACATGTGCTGTCCGGTTAAGAGGTCAGTTTGTGGAGTTTATTTGTGCTTAAATCTTGTAAAGGCACCTGTGGGCTAAATGTCATGTTGGGACGTCTTGATTTTAAATCATGCTCTGTTGTAGGAGTTTTATTGCTGAGATGACAATCTTTGTAAAACAACTGGGTAGGAGTAAGTATCAGAAAACCTTCTACATAATAAACTGTAAGGTCAAGGGCAAATAGTTTGACATCAGAAGTTGTGTCCATGCTAAAGCTGCCCTACTTTTCCAGAGGTTTTTGTTCGTGAGCATGGCTCTACGAAGAAGCTGGCCGCCCAGTCTTGTGCGCTGTCTATTGTCTGTCAGCTTTACCATTTGGGGTCATAGAAGCCTACACAGGACAGACCAAGAAGAAAGAAGGAGAGAGTGTGAGTTTTACACCCCAGTTTATCTAGCTTCTGAGACCTGTGTGTTTACCGACTCTTCTAACTTCCTGTTTTGGTTACTGTGACAGGTGGATGTATATGAAGTGAATCTCAGTGATGATGTACAGCAGCAAATACACAGTATTGTGCAGGAACTTGCCATCCAGATCCCTTCTCCTGTAAGTGATGGGCAGAAAAACTGCTTGACTTTGCATTACCAAGAATAAGTGCTAAAACTTTGTTGTATGTCCTGTTTTAGCCTCAGGACCCCAACAGTCCAGTATCTCTGGTGCAAGGGAAGATGGCTCAGTTTGAGCCCTCACAAAGGCAGAGCATAGCAGGAGTGGTGCCGTGGTCTCCACCGCAGGTCAACTGGAACCCCTGGACCAGCTCCAACATTGATGAAGGACTGCTGGCATTTGTGAGTCTGCTGTTCTTCGATGAACTCTTCTAACTGAATAATAGCAAGTGAAATTGGTGTGATATACTTCATACCACTGAAAACCTATTGTACTTTGGTTTACAGTGTACCCCAGAACAGATCAGCACAGACCTGCTGCATGAGCTCAACTATCAGCTTGACCAGGACAAAAATCTGCAGACGGTGAGATAAAAACAGACCTGAAAGACTCCATGAAATTGATGTTTTGTGGGTTTTAGTCAATGTGTATTATATTTGAGGGCATTTCACTTTACAAAGCAAAGAAAAAGACAATAATACTAAATCCCCCCTCCCTGTTATGGTAGTCGAGCAAA